TATGTTGAATCCTTGTAATTGCTTCTTTGTATTTTGACTCCCTTAATGAAATATTGACTCTATGACGATTCCACTGAATCTCCTTCTACCCTTTCTTATGCCAGAGATTTCTAGACATCATAACTTTCTTACATTCTAACTTGAAATGAGATATACACTATACATAATAATGTAGAAGAATTGTTACACTATATATTAGCATAATAACTTAAAAGATAATTATAAATAATCATTCATATTAATGAGGTAGAATATAATTAAGGGGTTAACTATAATAACATGTTGAAATATATTGAATACATAAAAATAATATTTTCACTAATTGCTATTGAATATTTTTTTTCCAGCCTTTGAAACTCTCAAGGCACAAAGTGATGGGCTAGATTTCATAAAACTTCTAAAGGAATTGAAATCTGTTGAGTCCAAGCCCAACTTGGAATGCCAAGGTTTGTCATTTTTCCCTACTTTTTTTGTTCCTTATATTTGGGGAATGGCTCGTTCTCATTACACTTTCTCTTCATTTTTTCAACTGCATATTCAAATGAGTAATGCTTGTCATATTTAGTATTTAAAAATCTAGATTGAATTCAATTTAGCAAGCCTCTTAACTATAATTAAGAGACTTGTTAAATTAAATTTAATCTATCTTTAAATTTTAAATATGACAGGTGTCACTTATCTAATTATGCACTTAAAAAATGGAGAGAAGATTATTATCATTTTCATGGTTAATTCAATAATTGTCATAATCATGTATGAGTAAGTGTGCACATAGGTCGAGTTGGTTCGATTTTTACTTAAAATATCAAATCAGGCGATTTATTATTTCTATAAAAAATCATATAAGTTTGTGTTTGAATAATCAATTTTTAAAAATATATATTCTAATATTAGAACACAACTAGTGCTTGGTCAATGTTCTAAAATCCTTTTAATAAGGGGAAAAATAAATTTTTAGACCTATTTTTGTCTTAAACGCTTGGCCAAACACCTCGATTCTCTAAACACATGTACCTTTGTATTAATAGCTAAAAACATTTTTGACTTCCTAGAAATTTGACCAAACAAAATATAAATCATTCAGTTCCGAGAAATAATTTTAATAGTTCAGTTGATTGATTACCTTAATTTTCACATTATTGGTGAAGATCTGATTCCCCACCTTATAATCTCTTCCCTCATTTCTCCTTCCCCTACTCCCCAAGTTCCCTACCCCAGCTATAATTTTATTTTATTTTAAAATAATAAATGAATTGGTTACACACTTCAATATAGTATCAAAGCAGATAGAGGTCCTGGTTACGCACTTCAATATCAACTCCATGTTTGCTATTATTATAACACATATAAAGCATATTATTCTTGCTCTTTCTTTCTCTTATTATAATTAATTTAATTATGTGTATATGTAGGAAAACTAAGGTGGCCAGAACTTATTGGTGTACCAGCACAGTATGCTAAGGGAATAATTGAGAAGGAAAATTCACTCATAAGTAATGTTCATATATTATTGAATGGTTCTCCAATCACATTGGATATTCGTTGTGATAGAGTTCGTCTTTTTGATAACATCTTGGGTTATGTTGTAGACATGCCTGTGGTTGGTTAATTAATGGATTATTGAAGTAAGCAGCCACATGTGAAAAAATAATTAGGGTTCATGTATGTTGATTATAATGTATCCATGTACTCTTCTATAATAATGGAATAAATAAGTATGGCTTAATTAAATGTACTCTCCTTAATTAATTCCTTCTACATATTGTGCATTACTTCTTCTGTTTCAATTTATTTGTCTTATTTTGACTTGACACAGAATTTAAGAAAAAAAAAAAAAAACAAATCAGCAAGTACTTCTAATTTGTAGATGTATCAACGAATACAAGAGTGATAAAATTTAGCTAGATCTGATGTCAGACCCCGAGCCTACACCCTAGACGTGACAGACACTCGAGAACCATTGTTGATTCCCAAGCGAACCCTTGACTTGGCTGACTACTTAGCGGCAGACTAACTCAAACATGATTAAGCTATAAAACAGAATTAAGCCATTTAATCTCTAATTACTCAACTCCAATTGTCTGTAGAATACTCAATGAAAGCATAATATTTGAAAAACAGTTTAACAAAAAAATATTGTAAGGATCCTCAAGATTAACTATATATGAAGCTTCTATTGTTAAAGACGGATGTCGAGACAAGACCCACAACACCTCAAAGCAACTAACTAAAAGATAAAAGTGGAGTCCTCTGGAATGCAAGGAGGCTACCAAAAGCTAACTGGAAGTGCAAAGTTATCTCAATGAAACACATGTTCATGATCTTGAACACACACACACACACACATATATATATATCTACATTATAAAAAGATGCAGGTCGAATGACATCAGTACATTGAATGTACGAGTATGTAGTATAGCCGAAGCGAATGACTAAATGAAAGGACTGCAATATAAATAAATATATACGCAACTAGATGTAAGGAGATAAAGAAGTCAAATCATTTAAACTTTACAAATCCTTACTCATCTCTGAACTCAACATATTAAGTGATATGATAAAATACAGTTTTAACTATATTTGGGAGATTCTTTAACCGACAACCATCACTATGAGCAATATGGTGATGCAACGTCTCGCCCATGCTGTCAGAACTATCTTATAGCTTTCTGGTATATAGAATATCTCAACTAAGTGGATCCACTAAAACTCTGCTTGAAAGCAATAAGTAGTTGTCTAAAAAGTATGATCATTTATCCATGTTAACTACATGGTTTATGAGGAATGTGAGTTGTCTGAACTCATCCCATATGGTGCATAATACTACTCCCAATAAATATATTATCATGCTCAAATATATAAAAACATATTATTTCTCAATTTGAAAAAATTGCTCAAAATATCCTCTTAAAAGAGGTAAGTGCTCTGAAATATCTCTGAACTCATTAACTTATTTAGAAATCAAAATTTCTCTTTTCTCAATGTAAAAAGTCATACATTTGGGATACTTAGTTCCCTTATACTCTGTCACGACCCAAAAATGGACGTGATGGCACTCGTCTTATCCCACCATAACAAGTCAGCCTAAAACTCAAATATCACAAAAATGCGGAAGTAAGACAAATTGAAATCTCAAAGTATCATAAGTGCGGGTAGCTAAGTCAACTTAATAAAATTCCCAAAACCTGGTTGTCACGTGTACAAGCCTATAAAGTATTACAATTGATTCAAAAGAAAAATACAAGTCTCAAATGACATTGTTTCTAGAATAGAACAAGATCATATATAGGAGTAAGAAGGTCCACTGAAAATGACAAGCAACTACCTCACAAACTTCCACAAGAAGCATCAGCCAAGGAAAGAAAAGAAAGTATCACGAAGGTCCGGGCTAGTAGCCTACAAAAATGTAGAAGCACGGGGTAAATACCAAACCACATGGTACTCATCAAGTAAACTTCTAAACACAAGCTGAGGGAATAGAATACTGGTACTCCTTACACCTCAATCAAACCTCCACAACTACAACCTGCATAAAACCAGCCCAACCTAACAGTTCACAATTTACATAACACACAGCTCAACAACAACACTCTAACAATTACATATCCTCAACAACAAGCTCAATATTCATCAATCACAACCTCCACAACTACAACCTGCATAAAACTAGCCTAATCTAACAGTTCACAATTTACATAGCACACAGCTCATTAACAACACTCTAACAATTAAATATCCTCAACAACAAGCTCAATATTCATCAATCACGAGTACCACAGAAAGACACTCACAAGATCAGAAAAGCACAATATCAAGTTCACTAATGATAAAGATGTGCAATGCAATGGAATGCAATGTCAAGTATAGTGATGCATGTCTAACCTAGTGATACACACCCGCTGTCTCTCAGTCCTGGACCCATAAGGGACATATATGTCCATGCATCCGTTGCAACGTGCAACACGACCCTCGATAATAGTAACCGTCGTGGCGTGCGACACGTCCCTCGATAATAGTATTCGTCGTGGCGCGCAACACGTCCCTCGAAATGGTACATCCTCTGTAATTTCTTATTCTTCCTCAATTCACATAGCACTTATCACACTATGTCTCAAAACCAATGCAAATGACATGTTCACATAAATAATGAGGAGATGCACAATTCACAACAACACAATCGTGATACAACATCAACAATGAGTCAACAAACCTTCCAAATCATTCTCAACACATCACACACCAACAATTAATCACATTGCCTTTTATTACCCCTTATTCATCATTAGAATTATTCAATATGGACAAGTCAACCAATCACCAAGTCTCATTACTCCCCAACACATACCACGAGAAAATACACGATTTTATACACTTAACAGGAGTTTAGAAATCCACCTGCCTCAAATAGTCGAACAATCACTTCGGGACTTGAGTCTTTCCATTTCATTGGGCTTCCAAATAAATGCAATCTATACAAATAAATAATCACAATAAGATTCTTGAAACTAACAACACTCATATCACTATGTGTCTAGTTTAGACCCAAAAACTCACTCAAATCTATAATTACGTTCCTAATCTTGATGCCAATTAATATTTCAACTCTCATATTTCTCAAATTCAAGCCTAGGGTTGAATCATAATTTCTTCAAACACTACAACTCTAATAGCTTTCATATAATATAATACACCCAATATTTAATTACCTATTTTAATATATCAAGATTTAACTCATAATGCGATAGTAAAATCAGAATTTCTAAATATGGAAACCACTGGTTACGAAATCAGTGGTGGAAACCTCATAAAACAAAAGCACCAACACTTCACCTGTAAAACCATCACCAATGATGCCATACCATTACTGCCAAGAGATGGCGTAACTTATTTCCTCAAATAGGACAATTTACTAATCGACCAAATATACAACTTAGAAAAAAGGAATCATCCAAAATTAAACAATTATCCAATTGTCCGCCTTTGTTAAGCGGTGTAATGTTTCTCTTTTGTTTCCACTCCGTTATAATCTAACTGTTAAATCCCTTTAATTTATCTCAATATATGGGTCAAGCGGTATAGGGTTTTTAATAAATTATGAACTTGTCTCATTAACCACTTATTAAAATTAAATATTTAAAATTTACCCAATAAATAATTAACTATAGCTAAACTTCGAAATCAAGAACTCATAACTCAACAATACTACTCATCTCAAGAATACTCAAAATCCAGGATAAAATCCTAGATAGATGTAGGGCGTGAGGACGAACTCAGTCCAACACTATGATAGCCTTACATACCTGGAAGAACAAAGTTCTTAGCGAAACTGGAAGAACGCTTAAAGACCCTAGCCTTCTCCTCTTGAATCATTGCTCTAAGACTTGGAAGCGTTAATGAACCTAAAATGATTGATTAACATTGTTTAAACCCTTAACTAGGTGTAAAAACATCGTGGTTTAGACTTAGAAGGGGTGGGAATAGACTAAAATATTCCTCTCAAAAGCTGACGAAAATCTTATATGGGTCTATCTACAGTTTGTGGTTTGCTTTACGGACCATAGATCTCGTTCGTGAAATTTATATTGAATTTTCTAAGTTAAAATTTCTTTCTACATGTCCAATCTAAGACCCGTAGAAGTTTCTATGGATCTGTAGGAATTGGACCCCATAATCTGACTTCTCTGAAGTTTTCTACGATTTGACAATACGGATTGTCGAAATTTCTACGACCCATAGAAGCAACTCATAGGAATTGGCTTCAAGAAACTCTAATGTGACTGTCTTTGGTAAATGGTCATAACTTTTTACTCCGAACTCAAAAGGAGTCAAACTTTATGGCGTTGGAAAGAGGACTCATTGACCTTTGATTTGATAGGTCATGAGTTACCTTATTCATTTTATGCTGAGAGATATGATCATTTGAATATGACCTAAGTAGAATCTTATGTCAAAACTTAATCGGTAAAGAAGCTTTCAACTCAACTTTGTGTTGTGGGGTGGGGGGGGGGGGGTTTCTTGTGACCTTAAATCATATTTAAATTCATTTTCACACTAAAGAATTGACCTTTACAAATATGAGCAATTTAAGAATCACTCGGTACAACCTTACATGTAAATAAAGAATGATTTGGCCTTAGCTTAGAAACTTTCAAGATCTTGCATGTATCAACAAGTACAAAAATGTGTACAATATGCAAGACCGGTATTTTAAAACAGTGGAGAATACAATTCAACAAACACTTTTTATTCGTAGATGTATCAACGAATATGGATGAACAAATAAAAATAAAGAGAGGAATTAAATAGTAGTTGATTAAATTGTGTTTTTTCAAAAAGGAGAAAAAAAATTCCAAAAGGGAATTGGGGGTTGTTAGCCAATAATTGCATATTTGGACCATTTGATTAACGATAGAGTTATGAGTTGAAAACCTTTTAAATGAAGGATAAAATTACTCTATATAAATTATAGATATATTTGATCCTTTTTCATTATCTTACATAGTTTACAACATAGGTTCATTTTCAATCGGTACCAAAAACTCTCAAATATAATTCATAAAATCTAAATACTAGTATATATTTTTTTATCTGAGTGGTGACTATAAAGTTTGAGGGTTGCTCTATATTAGTCCTTGTATATATAAAAATGTTTTTTTACTCAAATTCCTCTTATTAATTTCTTATAAGAATACAATAATAAAGAAATAATTTTGTCAATTACTTTAAAAAATA